ATTTTTAAAGATTTTCGAAGTTTTTTCCAGAAATTTTCGAAAATTTTTTTATAGGTGGAGATCTCCGGAGATCTCCACCAAAAAATTTCCTGATGTTGTCCTACTAATCGTTTTTATTTATTTGTGTTTAATGAACTTGATTCTTCTATATCCAGTATAGTACATAGTGACTCAGTAGTATCAGTTTTTATTAATTCTTTGATATTATCTTTAAAGCTCATTTTAAAAATTTTTTGTAGAAATTTTTTATTTACGAAATAAAAAAAATCAAATAAATATAAAAATAATATGATATACTTTATCTATTACGTCATTATAATAATAATATTTAATTAATTACACCTTATTTATAATTACATTATTATAATAGTGATATTTGAATAATTATGTCCCATCTATAGTCACAGCATTATTTGCAAAAACTTGCACTATATTTTTTAGTTATAGTTTCATATAGTGATAATTGCGAAAGAATTTTTTCTGTTTTAAGTTGGATAACTCAAAAAAGACGAAACAGGTAAATAAATTTTTCATTGATTTTTATATATAATAATATAATATTTAATTTTTTTTATTTTAAGATTAACTGTTGAAAAAGTATTAAATATGGCCAAATTATATTCTTACTATGTAACAAATGCATATGAAAAATTAAATTATATCAAACATGAATTAAATAAAGATGAATTCGAACAAACAATAAAAATTATATTTCTACAATTATATCAGATGACAATATGTTTGATGAAAGTATTGAAAGTGAAAAAGAAGGTAATGAATTAGAAGATAATAATATTATAGATTTAATAGATATTAATAACGAAAATTTAGAAATTAGAAGTATTATTAATATAGATTTTGCTTTAAGTGAAAATGACTCAAATACTGTGATAAATTAAGAAATTATTGATCACAGTGATCCAAATTTTGATATAAATACAATTATTGGCTTGTAGTAATTATAGCAATGAATAATTTTTGTATTGGTATAGATCAATTTTATTAAATATATGCTATATTAATATATATGCTAATATTAATTTCGGTTACATCAGTAATAATAATATCGGTTGTCATAAAATTATAATTTTAATAACTCCAATTATGCCCCCATCTATAGTTGCATATGGTTTGATATATAAAATACATTACTTTGGTTCATATAATAAAAATCAAAACACATGTTATTGGAGTGTGGCCTAAAAAATAAAACATAATATACTTAAGTGAAGTGTATATTTCAATGATTTTCAAGTGACGATACAATCTATATATTACCTGATAAGTAAACTATAAATATATCAAGCATGTGATCAAAATTATGAGATCGATTATACACTAATGTGATCAAAATTATGAGATCGATTATATACTAATGTGGCCAAAATTATGAGATCAATCACTTTCAAATGTGATCAAAATTATGAGATCGAACATTTTTGAATTTCAAATATGGCCAGAATTATAAGATTAATCACTTTTGAATGTGGCCAAAATTATAATATAGACTATATTATAACCTAAGCTAAATAAACATCAAAATAAATATCTACTTATAAGTAAATCACAATATACTTATAAGTAGGTAACAATCTAATATAAGTAAACCCAATATATATATACTGGGCCTACTTATAATGATCCGAATTCTTTGTGTTGCTTGGTTATATTGGATGATTTTGAAAGTAGTGAATTGTGTTTTCCAGAACTTAAAGTAATTATATCACTTAAACCTAATCACATTGTTGTATTTTCATTACATTTTCTATTATATAATAATCTTCCGATCATGAGAGAAATCCATCACAGCATCATATATTTTGTCTATAGTATGTTCTTTTACCATCTGTGTAATTTTTCTTCAATATATAATGATTTAGAAACAGGAATCAAAAGAAATGCTCATGGGTCAGTTGTTCCTATGATTTCTTAACAAGATCTAAATGACACACGAGATCTGAATAACCGAATCAAACTCTCGCAACTGAAAAAAAATCAAACTATAAATTAAAAAGATCTTGTGATAAGAGATGGGAAAATATAGGTAAGTAATTATTTAATATGGGCTAGTATATTTGTGTTAATCTTTTCATTATATTATATATATTAATAATAATAATCGTTACTTCTTTACAGATTTATTGCATGCCAAACATAGGTTGAAAGCAGAGGATCCACTACCTGATGGGATATAATTCAATACTTATATAGCAAAAATAATTATATAAATTTAGTGGGTTTAAAATATAAATATATTAGATGATTACTGGTTAAATAAAGATTTTCGCATATACTGTAAACATAATGTTCAGATAATTAATTTAGATATATATATTATATATTTTTCAGATATTCTCAATCACGCTTAACTTTGCAATCAGCTCATCTAATGATAGGTCTGTTTCATATTTTTTGGCTTCCATATGATTATCAGAATTTAATTCACGAAGGAATTGATATTTAAGATATTCTTTATCATATTCAAGTGAGTTATTACATTTTTTTACTTTTGCAAAATACCCCATTACTGAATCATTTCCTTGCTCCAAACCCCCAAATCAGAATTTCTGAATATCAGTAGGTCTGGTTGAGATCTTATTTAAGTGGTCAACTATTTCATTCAGAAAATTTTTAAACCTGAATCGAATTACTTCTTTTTTATTTTCTCGTGATAGAGCATTGAAGAAAGTCCTTTTAAAGTTTTGATTAATTAAGTTGATATTTAATGGTGTGGCATATATCTTTGTTGTCTTGATATATTCATTCACAGACATATTGAGTTGTGTAGGTGGCAGAATTCCTGATTCAATAATTAATGATATAACAGTTCCATCGAAGAATATAAGAGTTTTATTTGAAAAGTCCATTTTCATTGCATTTTTCTGAAACTATGGCTAACCCAATATCAGTACAGATTCAAGTTTGAGTTTATTGATAATGAAAACATTGGTAACTTTTACTTGCTTTGATTTATTATTTTTGGATTGAAAAGAGGGATTTATTTCATAAAGCATCTCTAATATTAATAGCCTATCTCCTGTAGTTAATTTTTTTTTTTTTTTTTTTCAACTAGCTAGGCCTTGCCTAACATGCTTTATTTAGTTTATATATGTATTTCTTTTACAAGAGTTACTATCTATAAACTATTCT